GCTTCATTTTCATGGTTGGAGCCAGCGAGCGAAGCCATAATGAGCTGCAACGGTGTTTTCGCAAACGTGCGTCCGGTGGCGATCGCCATGTCGAACTTGGCTCTAGAAAGCTCGTACGGTCGGGTTTGATCCATGCGAGAAGCGATATACGACCAGTCGCGCTTCGCGGCGTACTGTCGCTCGATCAACTCGATGTCACAAGCGAGCGGCTTGGGGGTCTCGATGTAGCTTCGCTTTGCTTCGGCTGCGGCTTCGTCGCGACGGATGGTCTCCTGTTGCTTAAGCAAGTCAGCCATCGTCGGGCGTGTGTCAGCAGGAGCTGGCGGTGCGGCACCAGCAGGTAGCGAGCTCATCGGTTCAGCAACATCCGAGGCGTCCGCAGTTGTTGGCTCAAAGGCCGACGGCACTGAAAACGCGAGCGATGATGACGACGGGGGTGCGAAATGATGGGCTGGTGTGGACGGTTGAGTCGCTGCGAGAGCAATACGTGGCGGCCTGATTGGTCCAGGCGCTCTAAACAAATTATGTCAGCGATACTCCTTCTGCCGTTACAAGAACTTTGCAAATGGCGTCCTGGCTCAATAAGTCAGTGAAAGTCTCGTGTCTGCTTTGCTGCTTTTATATAAGAAGAAATATATAATCACCTATCGAGCGAAGTTTTTGCTGGAGGCTTTGAACAAAATTTAAGTAATCTGCACAATTATTGAAATGGAACCATCAATTTTGAGAGTTTTCGAATTCGTGATATTGTGGGTAAAGTAGCAATTAGGTAGTTTTTTTCAGAACTATGACTAGTAGGGTCTTGTTACTTAAGCACTACTCATAATAGTGAAAAGTGGGGTATTTTATGGCCTAAGATTCTAATGTTGTCTTAAACATTCTGATAAAGTGGTACAATATGACTTAAATTTGCTCGTCAACTATCAACATTCTTAAATCCATTGTTTGTGGCGGAAGTACAGCTGTAGTGCAGCAGCAATGGCTATGGCAAATACCCAGAATAATGCATAGCCATAACGCTCATGAAGCTCGGGCATTACATCGAAGTTCATCCCATAGACTCCAGTTAAAAATTGACCCGGCAGGAAGACAGTTGTGACAACTGTTAGTGTGTAAATGACATAGTTCATCTGAGTTGCTTTAGCATCCCGATACTCTTCGGTAAGTTGACGGCACATTTGCACTTGCTGTTCGATATCGTCAAGTACAGCCACTACGTGGTCGTGAACGTCACGAACATAGTCAGTCACCGTAGCGTCAAAATCTTTGCTCTCAATGATATTCTTAAGCACTTCTCGAGCCGGTTTTAACAATCGAGGAAGCCGAAACAACTCATTCTTCAGTACTCGTAGTGAGCGCATTTCAAAACGATGTCGTTCTACTTCAAGTTGATTCTCAAGCGCAATCAGACATTCCGTGACGGAATCAACTACACTCGTAAATTGATCCACAATCACATCAAGTACCGAGTATACAAGAAAATTAGCATCATTGTGTCGTAGTTTGGAGTATGGTACAGCCAGTCGACGGTTTAATTCAGTCCAGATATCACTTCCCCCACCGTCTTTAACCGTGATCACTGTGTCATTATCGACGACAAAGATGAAGACATGCTCAATCCAAAGCTGAAATGGGTCTTCATCCTTCTCTTCCAACTCGTCAGTGATAGTACTTATACTAGTATGAAACGACTTTCGCTTCACAAAGGTCGGTAATGATGTCTTTCTTGTGTCTGAGTAGAGTCGCGCGCGCTTGCGATCTAGTGGAAGTCCTTTGTCCGGAATCACTTTCATTCGTAACACAGGAAACACCAGAAACAAATGCTCATCATATCGATCAAATTTAGGTCGTTCATGACCTTCAATAGTGTCCTCAATAGCCAGTGGATGAAGACGATACTTTATAGCGAGTCTTTTAAGATTTAGACTATCGCGTCCGTCCAGGTTGATCCAGCGTACATTGACCCACTCAGGTCGTGGAGTCGTGTAGAATTCATGCAGATTCTTTTGTCGAAGAGCAAAGGTCTGTAGTTTCGTGCCGGAAAAGTCGGAAATTGACAAACCAGCTTGTTGGTACCCATTCAATTTCATCTCCTGCACGGTTCCTTCATCAAACATGTGCATCATTTTTAGTCGATGCACTGCAGCATCAAACTGTTGCAATGTTATTCCTCCATTCTTTTCGGTATCAATATTATGAACCAATTTTGCGAACACTATGTCGTCCGAGCATTTAATGCCTAATGTCTCGAGAGCAGCTCGAAATCCTTCATAACATAAGTTTCCATCTTTCTCTGGCCTTGCACCTTCAAAAGCTATACGGAGGCGCGGTGGAGTCACGTCGAAATACGGATCCAGCATATTCAGCTCATCAGTGCTCTGAGCTGATCCATCCAAAGCCACTTCAGCAAAATTTTTGTAATTGTGAGGAGTGTCAAAGCCTTTACGTGCAGTCGGACTGAATAAGATCGAAATCTTGTCTACATTAAGCTCTAACTCCGTCGTTTGGTGACTGCGGCGAGAAGTATCTGAGCCTCTGCTATTCCCAGCTCTAGGGTACGAGCTTAATTCCAGAGAGTTGCGAGGAGACGCACTGATGCCTCCCGAGTCCCGTAAAAGCGGAGTGTCTTCGTCCATTGCGCTAAAATCCATACTCTGGACTTTCGCTTGACGATAACTACAAAAACATTGAATATGTCTTGTAGACGAAAATGGGACGAACGTGGCAGTTACTCTACCAAGTGTTTTGTTGTTCTATACGAATCGAGTAGAGGAAATAGAAATGAGAAGTATAGAGCTTAGCACTTTGTACGTTGACATGTGTCAATGATTCTACTCCTATCGCTATAGACATCTAGCACCTCGTTTATGATAATTTCTCTTCCGATCGACAAATAGGATAAGGATTTCGACAGATATCTTGTGATGGGAAGAATTTCCATTTTAGCTTCGAGACGACCTCTTGATTATGTGACCCCTTACGATTATCGGTCTAACGATGTACTGACACGATTGCATGGGTCGAGCTCGCGAGAATACGGCATGACAGATGCCTCGAACTCGCTCTCGGATGGAAAGCGCGGTCGAACTGACCCCCTTCATTTGAGATACTTAGTGCCGCTCAAGTATTCTACGATATCTGCAATGCTTGACGCTAGTTACCACCCAGTCTATTGCAGCCATCGGCGTCTCTACAGCCAAACTCTTCGGAACTTTGCCATCTTTCATAAGTGCCAAATTCGGCAATTTTTCACGATACGCGTAGTTTCTGCTGCGTTTTTCACAGCCAAATCGACCATTTATCGTGCGTCGTCACGTCAGTTGCACAAATTACAGCTTTGATCCGAAATGAGGTATACGTAAAGGTTGCATTTATCACTGTCAGTGACAGGGAGCACTACGCACAGGCGGATCTTTTCACACAGATTGATTTCTCGGTCACTTGCAAACATTCTTGTCGGTCCACATAGCACTCAAATTCAAACGACTTGCGCACAAATCGTGAGCTTGACTCTGATTTCAGTGCAAGATTTAGACCGGTACCCATCATTGTTGGATGGCTACTCCTTACGTACCAAAGTAGACGACAGACTTGTATGTGTGTGACGCATGTTAATGTCTATATACCATGCTCATCGTTATAGCTGACGCGTTGAGCTCGTATATGGATTCCAAGAGACATATGAATTTCTTTGCAGATTTCACAATCATCTGTAAGTACTCTTCTTGGACATTTGGAGAGAGCAATGCCATCAACTGCGTAAAATTTGAAATTGTCGGATTCACAACTATTTATCGAATCGAATGAAGCTGGCAAAAGTCTCTTGCTGATTTTAAACGATCATTGATCGCTGCATTGTTACCGCAATTGCGCGAGATGCTGCACGTTGTTACTCTTGTTGCAATTGATCGCTTTATCGCAGTGCGTCAGGAACGAATCGATAGTCTTATTGTCGCGCTGGCAAGCTTGATTTTCTTAAGTTTGATCTTAATTTATATAAAAATAAACGCTGATTATCATAGTTGTGTCCCATATATTGTGTCAAAGTTAAGGAGAAATTTAACGTTTAGTTTCGTATTATTTTTTTCACAAAAGTCAATTCACCACAATACGAAATATTACGACAGGCTGAATTCGATAGACCCTTAAACTATAATCTTGAATCAAGTGTTTCATGCAACTTATTCTTTAATTTGGATTCGCGGCATGTAACAGAAGATTAAACATTGGTAGAAGCAGGATTTCAGGAGATAAATTGTTGACTGCGTACGATCGTAGCATCAGTTCCGCGTGATGGAAATCGTAGTAGCTACCAGAGAGATCCAGTTGGTAGCTAAGCTGAAAAGTACAACCGTGTTAAGGTGTGTGTCATGTCTTGTTGCTATCAACCCTTGTACGCTCAATGTCGATATAATACGACATTGTTGATTTATACTAAGCATTGGCTCCTGGATTCCTGGCTTTCTTAAAGGAATAGAAGCCCGAGCCATTTGTGTATATCATATATATATTGCAGTGTTCTGTGAGACTTGCGTAGCTGCAAACAGTTTATTAATAAGCAAAAAGCATATACATTCAATCTCTAATTTACCTCATTTAGGTACAGGGAGTCTCTAAAGCCATAGACCGTGAAGGGTTGTTTGCAGGGGGTTGCAGAACTCCCTTCGCATCCTCAAGCAAGGTGCGGTGTAGTGTACTGTCACACGTGGTAGCACTTGTAGTCAGACCAACGGCAACATGGTAAGCAGTAAAAGAATTCATCTGAACGGCTTTAATAGCTGAAGACCCAGAAAGCTTGGCAATATTGTCACCGGCGAGCACAATGAATGCTCGACCGGAATGGATTGAGATGACATGTCACGTCCGGGACTCAAAGACCCAAAATGTCAAAGTCACGTATGCTACCCAAGTCTTAGGGGCTTAAGGTACACTCCAACAAAGAAAAAAACGTGACATCACCTTCTTTTAGGTCCATGAGTTAGAACTGTCGATAAGGCATCCTTTGATCACAGACTAGCGACTCAGGATCTTTTGATACTGAACCTATGTGGTCAGGTAAAGTATTGTGCGTACACGCATGAAGTGATGATGCTCGGGAACTTGCACCTTGGATATAGCTATTCAAAGAGCTGCTTGCTTTCTTGCAGGTACAACTGTTCTGCCAGCGTTTGTGCCATCTGCTTACTAGCAGGAATGGCGCGAACTAAATGAGAACATTCATAGGATGAGCATTTTAGTCGCATCTCTGAGCACCCCTAACCTGGACACGTCAAGACAATGGTGTTCATGAATTGCCCAAGAGTAGGCCCAGCTTAAACCTTTGAACTTCAGTGCAGGCTTCCACAAAGGTTAGGGCAATTAAGTCCACACACCAGGAAGAATACAGCCAGAAGCAGGGGCGTACTCTTTTCATGAAATGGCATCATAAGTACAAAACCAATTGACTGTGTCTGGTCATGCGCAACTTACCTTGCTATCACCTTACTGCAAGTCGAAGCACATGATATGAGCCCGTTCGGGAAGTAGGCAGAAGCAAAGAATATATATTCTACTCTTTGGACGTTTTTGATGGGTCGATGATCAACGCTACGATCACGAACCCAGGAACCTTGTCTCGCGAATAGGGCGTAATAGGGCGAAACTGAGTCTTCACCAGGGGTACGCGTCAAAGAGTCGTCGCTATACTTGTTCTTGGAAAAGTTGTGCTTCTTGTACTCGCAAGTATGATATCTATATCAGAGAGCTTATAAAACCGACCGGTCTAAATGAGGCCGGAAGATTGTCGGACATTTTGGTTAATCATTGCCCCACTTCTGTCAGCTGTTAGGGTACCCAAAGGGATTGTAAGGCATTGAGCAACCAGAGGGTATTAAAGTGGTATCTTGTTAGCGATACCAACTCCGAGGCGGGTGTTAATTTACAACACGGAAAAGTTAATATGGGCACTTTTATCGAGAGTAAAAAAGGTACTTTGTCGTTGACGAGGATATTCAGCAGACGAAAACTACTTAGAATCGACGCTCCCTGTGTGGGTAACCAAGTTTCACACCGGATCCTAGATTTAGACTTGCCACCACCACAACACCACAACTGCTAATTTAGGCACAGGAGAAGCTTTTACCTTCCCACTGTGCTGAGGCGCGAATCGCCAAGATGGGTCACAAAAACTATTCTTTTTGAGCTGCTGAGGAAGTCACAAGGGCCGCTCAATACGTGTCGCATTATTTTATGCTACTTCGCTTACATGAAAGTGCCAAGACAAGTTGCTCTGACTAACTGATAAAATTTTGGCCACGTATACTTCTTGCATGAGTGTTAAACGCCAGGCCATACGCCCAATGAAGTAGCCTAGTTTTCCACAAGGTTGGATAGATCAGCTATTAATGGCCTGCATCGAAATGAAAGAGCTTCCGGCGGAAAGGAAATAAAGGGACACAGATGACCAGGAGTTTGAAAGAATTGCTCTCTGCAAAGAGAAAATCTAAATCGACTATTGCATTTTAAGAAATTCCACCCAATGTCTCGTCCTACTCATTCGAAGGCACCAGAAATACTGATCTCGAGATAACTTGTACTTACTAAATTTGTGGCGAGCTGATGGCAGTGGATTTATATAAGTGGGATTTTTAAATCGGGATTTATTTTTTTAAAAACTTAAATGTGTAAGCTGTTATGGACAAAACTGGCGGTGGCGGGAATCAGGATTTTCGCACTATTCGCCAACTTATTGCGTTTGGAAATTTAGCGCAAGTGCCAACTAGCTCATGCAAATCATATAACGAATTGAATCAACTTACCAGCACAGATTCCGACTCCCGGAAAAGATTTCTTGTTAAGGAACATTTCCGTGTGCACGATGCACATTTAGTTTGATCTGGTATTAGAAAGTTTGATCTGGTGTTAGAATAGTATCAAATCCGGATGCAAGAATCAAACATCCCACCCATAGCACTTCGTGATGCGAGGGCCTCCGGCAACTTTTATTCACTTTGTCACATGGTTGTGCGAACCCATACGTGCGCTCGTACATACGTAATTAGACAGTAAATTCGTTTATGACAGAATTAGCGGCTATCGGGGGCACCAAAGCACCTTTGTCAAGTGTTTGAGGTCCTGGAAGCAAACAAGCTCTATTATAACACCGAAAAATGCGGCAGGGTATTGATGCCCACTAGTGCCTTGTGATCAATAGGGAAGGGATAGAAAGACCCTGTGCACTTAAGATCCAATATTGTTGCGTTTGGAACCCAGTATCGAAAGGACCTACGCTTGTGGTTAGGACTGGCAAATAATGGAAAAGTACGGTACAGATTATGCAAGTCTTGCGAAGCCATTGTCCGGTTTGTTGAAAATGACATGGACTGGTGTCGGAAGCGACTCTACCAGAATGCATTTGGGGGAATTAAGGCGAGCTTACAGCAAACGCCTGTGCATGTTTTGTCAGACTAGGCGAAACCTATGACTGTTGCGTATGACGCTTCAGATCGTGTCATCGGCTTCGTTATTGCGTCTGTTCGAAGTGGAGCGAAAGCGAGTGATCGTAATACAGTCGAGGCAGCCCATGGCTACCGAGAGGGGCTTCCCCATCCGCAAAAAAAATTCTCGATGAATACACGCTCGTAAAAATGCACCCTATTGCTCTATTGAACCTTTTGTGGTCTACACATACCACAAGCTACAATTGTTGCGACAAATATCCAGATGGATGAGTTTCGTCGTAAACGCGTTCGGGCAAGATAAATATTTTGCCAGAATTTTATTGAATCGACAAGGCTATGAGCTGGCGCATATTGGTAGGATCGCAGCGTAATCAATGTCAAAATTCGTCAGGCGTGTAAAAAAGGCTAGTTCAAAGCCTTTGCGTCTACAGACGAATACGTAAGTATTAAGTGGCTGAGCGACGAACACGGTTTCAATCCCATCTCCACAAATAAGTTAGCAAACATCACTACTGTAGAGTAAAGCAGAAGGATCTTTCAAAAACTGTCGTTTCGAGCGACGAGGTTCTGAATGCGCTAAGCTACTGAGGTTCCATGATGCGCTCATCCCCTGAACTAATTGGGCTGTAATTATTTGGATTCTCAGCGCTTGACGCGGTCGCACATGTACAATAATCATTTACATATGTACGGGAGCGGAATGCGTGCTGCTTGGTTAAACCAGCAGGTAACGTGTCAGCTTTATTGCGTAGCTTGTCCGTTTCAACGGACTATTGGAAATCCGTGTATCTTTGCTTGTTTTATCAACCGACACGAAAAAGCTTGCAGACCTGCAAAAAATAATATGCCATGTGTTCAAAATGGAAGATCTTGCTCCAGTATTCACCGAGACGACGGAAAGCAAACAACCGGGCAGTATTAAATGACAAATTTCGTCATCATGGCCTGCCTGAGACCCGGAGTTCATTGCTATATTTGCTATAATTGAAAACAAGTTCATTGCTTCGAAGATGGGCTTTTGGCTTGGGGTTGTTGATGTTCACAGCCAACCATTCACAGACAAACGATCAGACTGAGGAGGAGATCGAGCGATCGAAGACACACCGAGCTTTTTATGCGCTGAGACGCCACACATGGTCCGGGTAGTTGTCGATAATTGAGTGGGTACCCAGCAATGCGACCCACGCATTAATAAAGTGATCTCTCTTACGTCAATAGATTCGGGCACGAAACAGTGCGCACTGCACTCATAGGACGCATGGTGAATTCGACAGTAGGTGGAGGAGGTCCAAAAAGCGGTATTTCTCCAGATCTCGTACGCGAGACCGCTTTCTTTGCAAAACTAGCCGTCAGGGTGTGATCAGACAGGCCCTCCATGCAATGACAGGGCTTTAGTATGAATGAATGATACGAATGGTATTATATTTGTTACGGAAAATTAGACTATTTTACACACTCTAAAACTTCCTTAAAATTGATTCGTTTGTTTGAGAGTGACAAATTGGAAGCAGTTCTTGTTGATCCATTTACGGTCCTGGGTTGTTATGGGCCCCTTAACTAATCAAACGCAATAATAACCTATCCAATATTTTGGGTAGCCTCAAAAGTACCATGATTCCCTGGATTGGCTGCCAAGATTGGTGACCAGAATGAGTGCTCTGCATCTTCCAAAAGCGGAAGGGCCAGGAAGCAGTGGAAATGGCCGCTGGTACGGTTAGTATTACAGGTTAAAGCCAGATATGCCTTTGGACTGTCGTTTCCTACAAAATTTTGTTCGGGTGTGTGCGATGGAAAGAGTGCATAGATCAAAGGTAACTTCTGGTGTGATGATCGTAGTTGTATCTCGTCACGGAATCGATAACGTTCTTCCGAACGCTCGCAGATTGAACTCTGAAGCACGCCGATCGATGCGATCATGACGATCTCGGCACTCTGGCTTATAGAAAATACATCGTGCGCAAGTAGCTTCAACATATCAAAACCCTACGACGATTGCGCAGTTCGCTGTGTAGCCCTAATCGTGAAGGGTTTTGAAAGGATCTACTTAGTTCTGGACGCGACGTATGATTTTCTGATAGGATTATTAAGGGACAAAAAGTTAGATCGTTTTAGACTATTGAGCGGACGTATGAGAGGTCACCACCGAGCACAATGGTAAGCTGTACAATCGCGTGAAGTATGTGATTACTGTACAACGTCACAAACTAGCGGTCTATTAGTCGTATGACCGGCTTTAGCATGATTGCCCAAGAAATGCTGCGTTTTCAGGACGGTAGAACAGGTCTTTTATAGTAGTGTATGGAATACAAAGAGTAGATGGCGCTCGTACGCATCACGAGTGTACCGGTCCATGTGGAGCGCACAGGCCCTCGACGAAGACATGGGCCCCATAATCTTCGACTGGGGAGTAACCTTCTTCGGATCAAGTTGATATCTGGCAAGCAAAAATACACCTTGCATCAGTAAGGGCGTTGCTTGTTCTGGTAGTGGTACTATTTTTTAAGCTGCCTGAGCAGTGACCAGCTCCTCATCGAAATCTTAAGTGACCTCTTGAAAAAGGTATCTAGCTAAATTCTCATCCTCGGACTCTCCACATTGATCAGTGACGTCAATGTGGTTCGTAACAGGATGGAGGACTGTATATGGCGAGCGATTCCATTGTAATACTGAGCACTTCAGGTCGCTCTTCCTACCAAAGGAGCTTTTGGTTTCGGAAGTCTGCAAACTAGCGCGATCCGTAAAAAGAGATAAATGCCTTGTTCGTAGCTGGCCTTGGTTGTAGTATTTCTATCATTGCTTGAGGCGATATATGAAATGGGTGCCTAGTTGTGTCGGCCATAAATGGTTTAGTTGTGTTACGCAGGTCTCCCTCGGCATTTTCGGATAGTGTCAGTCTAGTCGGTAGAGATGAAAACTCCGATGTTCCCCACAGGATGGGCACACAGCTCAAAGAATATGAAACTCCTTAGTCTTTCTTTGGGTTGGGGGCCTGACTAGCCATCACATGAAGGGAAGTCTCTGTACCTTCTGTATCCATTGGGGTGATTTATAAGTAGACGATTACAGTATGGCCTTCCCAACTACATACCTGTTTACTGAAATAAAGTCACAAACATTCTGTGTGAGTCAGAGTGCTGGTTCCTAGTTAGGGGTCTGTCTTGGTGCTTTCTACTGGATATTTTCCACAGAAGTTGAAATTCAAGCTTTTCGTGCTTCGTAAACCCAAAATCTTGTATAAGATTAAGCTGAGAACTCACTTTTTGAATTAAGAAGGAAAACAAGGTCTTATTATCAAAACCTCAATGACTGTCTGGGATGTTTTACATAGAGATAGGAATCATTACAAAATTTGATTCAGATGCGAATTCATTTTCAGGTCTCAAGTTTTTCTTACCCCCTCCAAGATAATTCTTCTTTCTTCACGCCGAGACTCGCTTCCACGTCGCACAAGTGTGTGGTTTGTGCTTGAGGGACTGTTGTAAACCCTCTTACAAGGCTTTGTTTGTCGAGCAACAATATTAAAACCATGGACAGGACTGACATGCGGTACATTGTGAACTGCACCCACTGCTTCGGCCATACGCTTGGCTAGATTCGCCCAAACCTGAGGGGTTAATGTGACGTCGCGTTTCTCGCGTCTGACGTCGTGATATAGTGCGCCGTCGTCTCTATTACCATAACTATGAAGAAGAAATGCGTCATTGAATGCACTGCGTGTTGTGAACTGCTGTTCTCGTAAGTGCCACTGCTGCAATTGATAATTTTATAATAGAGTAGGCACACGTAGTGCACCCGTGTAAAGTTTACATCGATGTATGCCATTATTTGTAGCTATACACCCAAGTGTGAAGTGCAGCGGGGCTGCCGTCTTTTTTTGCTTATAGATAGCTTACTAAATGAACTGACCTTACGTTTTATACCAGAAATCGTAAGATTGGCACTTTCAGTTGATAACGCTCGATCAGACCCTACCGCTGCAGTAGTATCGTGCAAATACCATATATTACCGAGCAGTGTATATCGTTGGGATTACAGATGCCAAACAACTGAGTGCCATCAAGGCGTTATGAATAGCATCGGTCGAAATTTTCTGACGTTGAGCAAGAATCTACTCGTAGTTACGCACTGATAGAAAGTTTTCGATTCTGCGTGCATTGAGGCAATACTGATCATTATATCAACGTTTGACCGAGTCAGCGCTGCGGTGTATTTACTACCAAGTGAGGGCATGATGGCTTACATTCCTGCCCATTCAATGCTGCGAGCACATTTGCTGCCAAGAGAACTTCGATTTTCGGCTAAAATCTGAACATGTTTGAACGAGTGCACATCGCAATCAAAATTGAGTGACTTAAAACGATATTTGTAGGATTGCCAAAATTCTTGGAAATTATTATTTGCCGGATCGCAAGTCTTGAAAGCCAGAATCGCGCATGCGCCACCTCTGACAAGATTTGATGATATTGCAATCCCGGTTTGAAGCTCGACTGAACCACACAAAGGAACAAGCCAACTAATGCAGCGTCTGTAGTGCTAAAAGAGAAAAGGTTTGGTGATACGTCGTACCGGCACAATTTGCTTGACAAGTAGTGTGTTCCGTTAAACGATAGACAACAACGTAACTCAAATAGTTACGGCAAAATTTGCGGCATGCAGAAACACATAAGTTCGAGAAGAAGACTGCTTCATCGCGATGAAATTTTGGTATGTCGAATCAATTTTGGGCCTCGCAAAGAGATAGATTAACCTACAAACACAGTGACGTGCCAAACACGTATGTCAACGTTGAACATAGCGCATAAAACTTAAATGTGACTTGTTTGTGCCGACGCTATATTTTGGAAATTGTGAGATATTTGTATAATGTATTTGTGGCCAACATGAAAAGTTTTTATTCAAATGACACATTGATTCTTGCTACAACTACAAATATAAGTCTTATTCGTGTAGAGAACAGTAGGAATCCATTGAAAGACTAATATGTGACTTACAATGAATCTGTCAACACAAACGTTAAGCTTAAAGGCAGATCTAGTTATATTAAAGAAAGTCTACAGCTACTTTAGTAGACAGTAAAAACTATTTTTTTGAGAACATGGCAAACCCAGTAATAAAGAATACGGGTAAGTGAGAAGATTTTCTGCTTGAAAATTGAACTCAGTGGTGACAAGGAGTACATGCTGGATCAGAAAACTGCATTAGACACGCTCGATAACGAGCGTGCTTAAGCTTTGAAAGTGAGATAAGATCGCCGATTTGCAATAAGTGCATTGATGGAGACTTGGCGGGCATGTGGTTGGCCGCGTATGATAATCATTGTTGCCTTGGTTTGCTTTTTCTTCTAGATAGACTGATATACTCCGCCAAATGCATGTGTAGGGTCACAAGGAAGAGGCAGAAGCGAAAGATGATTTATATACTGCAATGGATTTTAGACGCTCGGTAAATTTAAAGGTAGTTAATGAAATTAATTCACATTTAAGGCTAGAAATAACGCCATGTCAACACGCAGCAGATAATGTCATATAAAAGCAAGATGTGTTTATTACAATGAAAACCAATATATCCGGGCTGTACACGAAGCGAAATTGCGTGTTTCCGAGGAGAACATATGTAGATCTTGTGGTCAGAAATGATATCTATTAGTTTAAGAAAGAGCAGTTGCAAACTCGATTTAAAAGTACAATATACTTATTTTTTATGCGTTTGGACAACTTATCAAGTCGAGGTAGTAAGTTATGGTGAATGCTTTGCTTGTATAGGTTTATTCATTATCGTGTAGACAAGCAACAAACCAAACAAAGTTACATTAAGCCAGCTGGAACTCTAACCGAGTTATTAAACAAGTTATTTTCAGGAAAATGTATCACATTTAAATGATTCGAAGTACCGGGACGGACCGTTAAAATGAGCATTCTCACGGGTAGCTTTTTGAACAAGGTCGTGTGTAATTCGATTGCAATAGTCATTATGAAACAAGGTTGCCGTGTACTTTGCACAAAGAAATCTGTCTCTGGCTAGGAAATATTCCGACGGTATCTGCACGTTGGATCCCAATGAAGGTAAAGAGTCGCTATACTAAGTTCAGTTTCTTGTACCCAGTAGTGTGACAGACAGAACATACATTTACTTTGTATCCAATTCAGCCTCCAGCAGAATTTGCGGAATATGCTACAACAGACGACAGGCTTAGAGGAAACACACGAGAGCGAAATGCGGATCTTAATTATATTTGCTTTTTGCCAGCCACCGCTCAGGTACGTATTCCTTAGGTTATACGCGCAAGCCCCCGCAGAATCTACCCTCTTCGCTCCCAGCCACGACCAGTCTCTCACTATGGACATTGCTGCTTCCTCCCAGATTTACAGTCTTGACAAAACAATCAATCCATATGTGTAATTTATAATGCAATTGGCACAGGATGAGCGTGACCTGTGGGGGAATGTATTCGGCGAGATCAGCTGGAGCAGTGCGTGATTTTGCTGTACCAAGAAACATTTAAGCGCAAGTCTTGTACGGCAGCGACAACCATCTACATTTCCGAAGGCTATCATTGGTTTGGTTGGCAAGCACACTGCATAGTCGAGTTTGAAGGGGACTTTGAAAAAAAATGCTTGGCAAATAAGTTTATCTTCGTCGAAGTCTATTTACGACAATGATAGACGAAGGTGATGATGTGCACTAGCATATCAACAAGATCGGGACGGTTGCGGAACAGCATAACGTGATCAAAGCTCCATGACTTAATGATCACGCTTTATCTAGTCCGAGCAAATTGTTCGTATTTTTAGTCACAAAATTTGAAAAAAGCTGCAATTCTTTGACTTGAGAACTTGTAAAATCTCGACCACATTATAAAGATTCAAAAAGCATAAGGAACAGGGCAGAGGCATCGATAGAGCTACGCAAGGACAAGG